TATTGCTAAGAGAGGGCAATGTGCAGTTCAGAATGACCAGGAAAGGGAAGTGACCTCTACGGGACAGGAACAGGGACTGGCAGACAAAGGGCCAGTGCAGCAAGTGTGAACAGCAGGCACAACCCAGCAGTCTGGGAGTTGACTGCAGAGGGAAGGCCAGGCTACAGAATCTGACCAGCAGAGAAGCCCAGAGAAGAAGGTACTGCAACAGGCTAGGATGGGCAAAAAGCTCTTTAGCCCGCTAATCACAGCCAATGAGGGAGAGACGGGAACGAGGGGTGGGAGGAGCTTCACACTGTATCTTGTCATGTCACAGCTGCTCCCATAGAGCGGGCAAATCACTTTATCCCTTGCAGAAAAAGTTGCTTATAAACATTAGCAGGAGAGCAGAATAATCCTTAGAATATTTTTGGTTTGCTTTTTAAAAAAAAACACTGTAGAGCATTTTGAGGCGAGGACTGTCTTTTAATGTGACACGTGCGCGAACGCGGAGGGTGTGTGTCTGTGTCCATACAGTGCCTGCCACGCTGGGGCCCAGATCCCTGGCTAGGGGTTTTAGGTACCACCGCAATAGAAATATTGCGGCACGAACAAATAAATAAATTATGGAATAGGGTGTAAAAGGCATCATCAGAAGATAAGACATTTTTAAACTGGTTTACAAGCCATTCAAATTTAAATCAAACTCTCCCATTATTTTAGAATATTTCCTCCAACAAGCCACAGCATAATAAAACTTCTGAAATCAGCGAATAACCATTACAATAACAATTCTGGTACATTCTCCTTTATTTCTACAGTATCTGCCTGATGGGACGTTCAAACAGAAAAATGGAGTTTATAATGAAAACACCAACAGACCCTTCATTATGCAGCACGGCTGTAAATCTGTACACTGTAGATGGGCTAGAAGCAACTGAGTCTCTGTTGGGAAATACATAAGGAAAGAAATGAGAGATATTGCTTTATTGTGTTTAATTTAAAGTGTGGGTTTGGATGCAATGTGCCATGACACCACTTTACCCAGTGGCCGTCTTTGGGGTGTTTTGCTCTCCCCTAACTAGCAAGGGAATCAAAGGAGCACTTGAGCCCCTATGTAAATTCAACCTGTCATGCCCCATTGCACAAGTTCTCTACCTCCCTTTTGAAAGGTCACTTATTGGTAGAAGTCACTGAGAAAGCATCAGTTTCTTCATAACGTCCTTTAAACATAAACAAAGAGGAGAAACAACCCCTATAGGAGCCATCATTTTTTTCTGTGTCACAGCTTTACCAATGACTTGTAAATAGTAGTATCTTGTAGAAACACCTCTTCTTCTATGGCATGAATGTATTTTTATGCAGTGCAATGGGCCAGGCAGTTTCATTTTGAAGTTTAATATAATGTTAAGTGGTAAATGCAACTTTCACCTCTAGATGACCGTAGCCAGTTCAGATAACCTGGCACTGATTGAAAGTTACCTAATGTCTGTTTGGCTGTCTAAGAAAAATGAACTGCTTAGTGTCCATTTCTAGGTTGACAAGAGTCTACAACACACAAGCCACCATCGCAATTGGCACCCTTGATTGTAGCTTTAGGGGGGGGGGGGGGAAGGCCAGAGTCAACAAAGGAAGATTGCACTGCTCGCCCCCTCATCCCTACAGAAGAAAGAAACGACATTGGACGAAAGTGCACCAGGCTGGGCTCCCAGCAAAAACCCCAGGGACCAGGTTCCCCCTGAACTCAGCACAGGGCCCTGGGTAGCCCATTCCCTACCACTGAAATAACCTATGCCAATTTATGTAGTTAGTTCTGTAGCTCAAGCTGAAGGTTCAGGGTTCAAACTCTACTAATGAGGCACGATGGGGGAGTTGTTATAGCTTCCCATAGAATTTATTTTTACCTTTGAAATGATGTACAAAAAACGATGATCAAAGAATCTTACTTAAGTTGGAAAGCCAAGCTCTGAAAAGTGAGGAAATAATTTCAGGTGCCTGTGTAACCTTAATTCAGTCCCTTGGACATAAGTAGTATGACACAGTCTTTAATGACATGATCACATACAATTTTGTCCACAGGACCGGTCTCATTAGTGCACAGGATCGACAATGCTAAGGGAATGAATTAGGGCAGTGCCGTATATGGGACCATTTGTAGGACTTTTTCTTCATTTGTGGCAGAAGCTGGAAGGTAACTATTGTAGTGCCAGGAGACAGCAGGCGTAAGCCCACCCATAACTAACGGCCTTCCCCTTCACCAAGGGAGAGGGGCTAGTGAACCCAGGCCACAAGTATTTGTGGGGGACAACAAATGAAAAAAAACAGGGGCAGGTGTGGAAGTCAGAAGGTGAAAATCAGGTGAGCAGATGGGGACACTGAACAGAGACCCCCCCCAACAGCATCCACTGCTCCTCAAGGGCATCTGAAGAGTCAGTGGACTTAGAGGAACTCTGCTAGGAGGTGTGATTGAACAAGGAATAGAAATAAGTCCCTGCTTTTGCAGAGGTTCCTCCCCCCAATCCAACTTCCTCCTTCTGGTGTGCTGGATGGCCATCTTCAGAAGGAGGTTGAAGAGGCGGTCCTGTGACTTTGTGGGGCCATGGGAGAGGTGTGCCAATACCAGGAAGTGCAGGGAAAAGTGCAGCCAGAACCTCAGTAAGAGGTTCTGGAAGAGCTGGAAGAGGGGTTGTAGCCTGATGCACTCTACCTAGAAGTGTACCAGGGTCTCCCTCTCACTGCAAAAAAGACAGATGTTGGGAGAGTTTGTGAACTGCACCAAGCAAATGCCTTGGCTCCCGGCTCCATGAAGGAACCGCCAACTAATATACCCAACAAGCTGCCTTTTTTTCCCTCAGCACCATGCACAGAATGAGGGAGGGGTCCTGTGAGGAAAAAAAAAAGAGGCTGTGGTAATTTAATTAAAGACAGTATCATAATGCATCTTATCTCAGCGCAAAGGGGCCAAATTAAGGTTGCACAGGCAACCACGAAAGCGAGGAAACAAAAATAAAAGGGCTTCACTTTGCAGCCTTAATGTTCTTTCAATATAATTTTTTGTATGTATTATATGCAGTGCTGGCAGCGACTGCTATAGTTAGGGCAGCCTGTTTAAGACCCTGTTTTCAGTTGCTTATAACGTTGCCCAACTAGCTGTTTGGGCTGGAATTTTCATGCGAGGTGTCTGCCTTAAGCTGAATGTTTTTGAAAAATTATCTTTCAGATTGCGACAGTGTCCCAAATGTGTCAGTACTTTCCAAACACAGAGGAAGACCGTTCCTGACCCAAGCAGCAGGCAATTGCAATAATTCCTTAGCATGGATCAATTTTGCTTCCCACATGCACCCCTATTTTCCTCTTTTCTAAGTTTCACTGTTTGTTTTTCCATTGTGGAATCAGGCAGACAGAATTAAAACCTGAATCATAGCACGGCTGCTTCTTTCCTATCAGTTATGCTTGCTAACATACGAGATTCCATAAACATAATTACTATGAACTTACTTACTAAAAGAAGGCAAAAACAAATTTATAATTGGAGTATCTGCTTGAGTATGCCACATCATAAGTAGCTGAAAGAGCCTTGTTCTAGGCAAAGTGACAAGCCTCTTGGATTTGCAATTAGAAACATGTTTTTCCAAAGAGCCAAATGTTCTTATTGAAAAAGACAGTGTGCTTTTCAAGTGCAGAATGAAGAGCTGCCCTTTAACTTGCTCTGTCAGATGGTGGAATTTTAAGAATTTAAGACTGACCAAAGAGTAGCCTGAGAAAGAGAGGGAGGTTGTGAAGAATCCCTTATGCTGTAACTTTATCCTGTCAGGGCAGATAAATCAGAGACATGCAACCTTTCCCATGACCTTCCCACCACCTTTTCCTAAATGATTTTCCAAAATTCTTATTTTACTGGATCTCTCATTAGCGACGAAGGCTCATTTCTTCTCCGGAGTGTCGTTTTGGACTTGGGAAGTTACTTAATTTGGGGAGAGAAAGGGAGCGCAGCAATTTCCCAACGGATCATCCCCCCACCTAAGCATCTCCAACTAAAGTTTTGCAGGAGCTAAACCTACCTTTGCTCTTTCAGCACCTACCTTCAGGGGTGAGGATGATAGGTGGTGTTTTAGATAGCAATTGTATGACGCGCTATTAAAAGCATATTACACAGAATATTACACAATTAGGACAAATCCACAATGTTTATCAGCAAACATTTCAGTGGCTCATGATTACTTTAGCGGCTCATATTTTGTTTCTCTGGCTTTAGATAAGGAGAATTAGTTTCATGTTAGTATTTTGAGGCTGGCTCACTTATGTGCAGTTTCCGGCTACACAAGCTAGTTTCAGCCGCACTCCCTTATCTTGCAGTTAGTGACCTGTTTTCTTCCAATTGACATTCCATAGACCTCTGTTAAGGATACAACACTAATAAACCGCAATGCCAAAAGAGCAATGACTTCTGGAGATGTTTATTTCTGAATGCAGTAGAGCATCAAAAAACAGAACATGTCTAATATAACAGAAAATGATGCTTACAAATGTACATCTCCCTAAAAAAAAATCTCTCTACAAGAGAAAGCAGCTAGCAGGGCTACCATAAATACATCTTTAAAATCTTCATACAACTATTTGCATGCTAGAGGATCAAATGAATGATTGTACAATGGTTGTTCAGTAGGAGACAAATACTGCATATTAGTGGAGGTGTAGACTATATAGATGGTAACAAAGTATTCACAGTAAGACTGATTTTCCATGGCTCTCTGTTGAAGCAAAGATGCCTCTACAGATATTAGTTCGTTGTATTTGAACACTTACCCATCCAACTGTTCCTCTCCCAAAATATATCGCAGATTCTTCAAGAAAGAGAGGGAGACTAGCGCATGGGAATGGCGGATCTTCACATACCCAGTTACTGTTTCTATCAGACCCATAAAATTCTCCAGCTCAGAAGCAATATTGTCTACATTAAAGAAAAGGAAATGCTAGTTCATACGAGTTTAACTCTGCATTTTATTCAATGCATGGTTAGCATATCAGAATAAGTATTTATTACATTCACTGCTTTTGCAAACAAAATACAGATTCATCTTGTTGTGGACCAGCACGTATCATTATTTACCTATGCAGGCAGACAGGTGGAGCACAAAACAAGGCACTATCAGAACTCCATTTATAACTTTCTGACTGATCTGCTTTCCTTTGCATGAATATTCCATACTAGTGCCAGTACCAAATTCTGAGCTTTCAACAGCCAACCTTTTGGCAAGACTGAAAAGACTCATGTGCAGTTGTAAATTTAGGCATCTGTGAAACTGCAACTGCTGTTACTCTCGGTGACAGAGGTGAAGTTCATTCATTAGATCAGGCTGAAATGATCCACTGAAGAGCCTGGCATCAGACGGGAGGTTAAGAGTAGCCCCACAGAGTTATGCTATTATTCTCAACAAACAGAAAGGATACTAATCTCCAAAGCACAGGACTTTTACTGGCCATTTAAAAAATCAATAGTGTAGCTATAACTATATCATTTAAGCAGCCATTACTCCTAGAATGCTGAAACAATGAAGGTAAAGCCAGAACATCTTCATGTAATGAAGCTGGCTCACAGTCAGATTTTCTACAGCTTGTATAATAGTTACACTGTAGTTGTGTAAGGGGCATTCTCCAAAATGGGCAAGGAGCTTGGAAACAGGGTGTTTGCTTCTGGTGCAGAACACTAAAACTAAATGAAGTTCTGTGTGCACAGCAGTTCAGCCTGGATATCACGTGGCCAGTTATCACCTGAAAGAAGTTGGGAGGGTGTAGATTCGGAATACTCTTCAATTCTTTGAGATAATATCTAAGCATTAAACTAGACAACTTACGTTACTGTATAGTACTCAGGAATAAAATCAATTACTCCAGAGGGTGGGTGAGCTGAATGGGTTAACTTAAATAAAAGTTCTTCAGACCATCTCCCTGCAGAAGTTAAGATTCTACTTAAATATGTGAAACACATAATTAAAACAATTCACATACAACTGTTTCCAACCCCCTTGGTTATTAGGAGCAAACCTGGTATTCATAGGCAATTCAATCCATCTAGCACAGGCACAAAAATTCAAGGAACTCCACCCCACACACTCCTTTGCATGCATGCATAGGGAGGTATATTTCAAACCACCAAGTTTACAATGGTTTTTAAAGCTCAGAGTCTGTTGGAATTTCCCCAGCTGATGAATCACTACTCTGACAAATCGTATCCAGAGTTCATTTATGTTAGGACACGTACCAGATATGACCAACACAGTAATAATGAGCGTTGGGCAGAGCAGTGTTAGAATTTAAACAGGGGTATTCACTATCTCATGCACAGGGAGGAAAGCTTTGCCACTGGCTAAATACCTGGTCTACAGTCATGCCAGAGAACACCGCCATGTCGAGGATTCCAGCAGAAACCCTTAACGCAGCTGGAGCGCCATTAAAAGTCCTCTTGAGGATGATACTTACAGGTTTGGGGTTTTTTTGTATTGATACACTCAAAGAGAAAATAGAAAGTTAAAGGACCCTCATCAAAGGCTCAGACAGGAGGAACATTACTTACTCCCACGGCGGATGTTAATAAGCAGATTCCCCTTGAGGACGGTGCATCCCTGCAACATTTGTGCTGATGTGACGGAATCAATGGTCTTTGTTTTCTCTTCCTCACAGATTTTTGGGCAAGGCCCTTCGCAGGGGCTGCAGAACATGCTGTTGGGAAGGAAGGGAGACCAGAAATAAACAAAAACACATGGTTCTCAATCCACAACAGACTGCTGCTGCATTGTTTGGAAAGCAAGAACTTCTCTATCTGCAACCTAACAAAATACAAATCCCTCAAACTGGGAGGAAAGTGGCCATTTTTCAGAAGAGGCCTAGCAGAAAAGCAAATATCTCATGCACCCAGGCAGGACTGCATGGGTTCTATGAGCAGATGTGACCCTCATAAATACGTGCCCAAGGGAAAATGGTTATTAGAGAAATCTCCTAATGAGGTTATTGTCCTAATAAAACCGTGTCACAATTTGGATTTTAAAGGCAGTACCAAAGGACTGGAAAAATTGCTGTAAGGTACAACTGAGCAGAAAACAGAAACCTCACTCCCACCACTCGATCAGTTGCATAGATTATGCTATTCCTAGTCACTTCCCATCCTAAACTGTTGTGTAGTATTAATTCTACAAGCCCCATGGCTAGCTGTTAAACTGCTGACATATTTCACCATCCTGGTGACTGTAATGGAGTGGTGAGTAACGTGACTCCAACACACACAGTCTGTAAATCAGGTTATGAAATGTTGTGGTATCCCTCTGGATGAAGGGCATTCGAAGTGCAAGTCATTGCCTACACTTAATATAACATAACTGAAGGACAAATGATCAAGAATACAGAAAAAGTCATTGCCCTCTCTCAGGCATTGGTGGCCCTCTAGCGAACATCTCTGCTACCGAAATAAGGCTGGAGCCTATGAAGGTAAGCCTCCAGTACCTGACTCCCTTAGGCACCTTTGGAAAACTCAAGCCTCAGCATGCATATGTTGGCGCGAGAGAGAGAGAGACACAATTCCACAGTGACCTCCTAAACCAGCCCAGACCTGCTGAAATAGCTCCATACTAAAACTGGGGGGAGGGCCAGAACGTGAACATTTACATGAATTCTCCTCCACCCCTTCTCACCAAAGTTTTAAGTTCAGGTCTAGCAAACATGAACCAAAACAAGGACAGCTCTACCGTAAACACTATCCATATACTAACCTCAATATGTACAAATGGACTGCCACCAATGTGACACTATGGGATTGTTCTTCCTTCCAGGTAAAATATAACCCCGTCATCACTTGTTTTATTTCACCATTTTTCAATCTTGCATTAGTACCAGTGATTTTTAACTTATATTCACATTATACCTTCTGTGTGTGTGGGTGGAGGGGAGACAAGCAAAGGGAAAGAAAACCCCAGCTCTGAAAAGGAAGGCCATTGACAGCACACTGGTAAACATGGATTTGTTATTTTTTAACTAAAGGGTAACTGAACCCACTTTCTTCTTCAGCTTGGAGAAACGTGCACTGATGTAATGGAAGAAAGGAGCCTTCATTTCTTAGTCATGAGCTCCTATTTCAAATGCTACAGCATAATGTCCTAAGAACTGAAGGCATGCAAGAGGCATTCAACTAAAGGTACAAAGAATGCTGGAAACTCCTTATTTGCAACTGTTGGTTAATACCAGCTCTGGGAAACCGGGGGACAAAACGTTCACTGGCCTTGAGTTATGCCTTTCCACCTTTGCGGCTGAACACAAAACTATGATAAGATAAGCTGTGTCTATACTGTTTTATGAGAGTGTTTTTCAACAGCCGCTACTAGACGCTCAGGCCAGACAGCAGGGAAACAGTTTCTCAGGTAAACATCTGGCTTCAAGCTAGCAAACAGTAACGCTGTTTGCATCTAAATGTGAACTGGAAATTTTCCTAGGAAGATGTTTGTTTGGATGATACTCTCTCGTTCTCTCTAGGTTAATAAAGCAAATGGTGGAGATTTCCATCCCTGGAACAAAACTAACCTGCACAAATAAAGGAAAAACTATGATACAGACCATTTATATGGAGACATTTTTCAATGCAGTCCTACACTACTGAGAATTCCTCTATATTAGCAATTGCTAGGAAATAACAGTTCTTAGTGCCGTTGGGTTAATGGGTGGGCAACTAAGATTGTTGCCTTGGCTGCTGGCAAAGTGAGCAAGCCAACAACAGATCTATCACTCCACGATCTTTAAATTCCAGGAATATGACTGACAAAAATCAGAGTAATATTCCTGTAATAAACAGTTCCCTATGACAGTTAGTCATAAATACCAAAATCTGAAAAACAGATCATGGACCGTGAAATCAGACCTCCCCCATGAAATCTAGCTATTGGACGGGAGGGGAGGAGAAGGGGCAGGGCTGGGTAGAGACTCTACTGTGCACCGAGCTCCAGCTGCTAGTCCCAGCCGGGCTGGGGAGGGACAGGATTTCCTCTTCCCCTGCACGGTTGCTCTTGGGGGGGGGGAGATCAGAGGTTCCCGGAGGTGGGGATGTGTCTAATCTCCCCCGTACTGCTGAGAGTGCCCCAGCCGGGGGCTCCTAGCTGCTAGTCCCGGCGGGCTGGGGAGGGACAGGACCTTCCTCTTCCACTGCACAGCTGCTTTGGGAAGGGAGACGGGGGAAATCAGACCCGCCTTTGGCTATCTCCCCCAGCTGCAGGAAGCTCAGCTCTGGAGACAGCAGAGAAGTGAGGGTGGCAATGCTGCAACCCCCAATAACAGCTTTGCAACCCCAATGATCCCCTTTTGGGTTGGAACCCCCAAGGTTACATCATCATGAAATTGCAAATATAAACCTCTGAAAACGTGAAACTGACTGATTTTAAAACTCTGGGGGCCATGAAATTGACCAAAATGGACTGTGAATTTTGTAGGGCCCTAGTCATAAAATAGCATGGCAGCTACTGGTATTATTTCTCTGAACTAAGGTAGAGTTGGCATTTTCCAGGAAAAACACGGTGAACTAGAAAATGCAGAGACCTAATAGCTGCAATGAACGTGAGTGTACATAAGAGACCCGCACACAGAAAAGTCAGAATGCCAGTACACGTCAGTAAACAACCAATTAACGCGAGAAACAAAACTACTTTTACAATCTGCTCTGTATGGCAATGCTCTCCAAGAGCAGAATCTCCTTTCCATTGATTACTGGCATCTCTTCCCCATCTCCATCCCGCCCACTTTATTCCACTGTCATTTTCACTGGGCTATTGTCTAGTTTAAAGGCCTCATCCTCACGGTGTTGACAATACTCTATCTCCACTGATGTCAGCGGGAGACCAAGATGCTCAGCACCACATGGGATCAGGCCCTTAGACAGTTAATGCCAAGGAACTGGGGGGGTTATCTTTCTAAAAATCACACAGGGAACTATATGAATAACAATGCAAGCTCGTGTATTTCCTTTACCTTTGGCTTCCGTTGCGTATGAATCCAGAAGGGCACTCTGCCATGCACTCATCATTGTGGATCACAAACTTCTCATAGTCACTTATCTCTGTAGCAGGGACTTTGGAACAGAAGTCTTTAGTAACGCAGCGCCAGCCTTCAAACTTGTAGGTGTTCGGTGGGCAGGTGGGTACGCAGATTCCTTCGTAGTAATAATTGCGGCAGGCCACACAAACCGTGTTGTTGTCGGGTGCAGTGCAGCTCCCCAAGCACTCGGGATGGCAACATTCATTTTGGTCTGTGCAAGCCCGTTTGCCACAAGCGCTGGGGCACACTGCAAAGACAGAGCAAGGGAAGATTGAACAACTGGCATTTTAAAAATATAGTGAGATTAAATGCAGCAATGTAAACACTCTGAGCGCATATCCCCTTGGGTCTAGAGCCGTGTTTCCCAAACTTGGGACGTTGCTTGTGTAGGGAAAGCCCCTGGCGGGCCAGGTCGGTTTGTTTACCTGCCGCGTCCACAGGTCCGGCCGATCGCGGCTCCCACATGCCGCGGTTCGCTGCTCCAGGCCAATGGGAGCTGCGGGAAGCGGCGGCCAGTACGTCCCTCGGTCCGTGCCGCTTCCTGCAGCTCCTATTGGCCTGGAGCAGCGAACCGCGGCCAGTGGGAGCCGCAATCTGCTGGACCTGCTGACGCGGCAGGTAAACAAACCGGTCCAGCCCGCCAGGGGCTTTCCCTACACAAGCGGCGTCCCAAGTTTGAGAAACACTGCTCTAGAGCAACCCCTGAAAACTTTGACACTTGGGAGGCTGGCAAACTAAATTTCATTTTCTCAAAGTTTTCAAGTTGCTCGGAGATATCTTTCTCCAGATTTACATTAAAATATGAACCAGTGAAGTAACGAGGAAAACTGTTGAAAGCAATGTCAACGTAAGGATAACAGAAACAACTGAGGACTGGAACCCATTTGATAGCCCTGGTATTATGGTTACATTTTTGAGTGCTGACTTATTGTCTTTGAGAGGGTTTTTTTTGTGTGTTTCCAATTTGTATTTCAAATTCGTCTTTTATTGGCAACAAAAAAGCTCCCTTTAAACAACTTAATTACATTCATACAATAATACATTGCTATACTGCAGCACACATGGCTAGGTTGACCCCACTGTAGCATCCTCATGTTGCTTATGTACGCAGAATTGGATTTAATAAAGTACAGATGCTACACATCATATATGGTGGAATCATAGACTTCTTATTTTCCCCCTGAAGAGAGTACATATCCACCCTATCCACAAATATCAGACTAGGAGGACATACATTTGTGAAAAGCACATTTATTTAAAAACTCATTAATCTGTAGGTATGGGCACTGGGTTTGGAAAAAATGAACAGAAAGCAGGATCTTCAAGAGACAGTCTTACTATTGTTACATCAAAAGAAGCAGCAGCATTTATATTTATGTAACAACAACATTTTGATTACAATGTTTTATGGCCTTTTAGCCATGCTAGCTATATGCCAGAGGCTCTGCAAATAAACACAAGATAGGAAATCTGGTTTTCATTAGGTAACTGTTTTCCACTTTCTAACTTAGCTAAAAAACAGTATCAGTAACAGCAGCATAAAACAAAAGTTTCAGTAGGACTACAGTAGAGCCCAAGCAAATCAACATAAGAAACTTTAACCAAACTACATGACTAGACAGCATACAACCAGAAACACAGATAACATTGTAAGTGAACAAGGATGCAGCATCCACCCAAGAATAGATATGGAGAAATTCCCAAGATGATGTACCAGATTCTACTCCATCCTGTTTATTTCTCCTTTTTCCTCAAATCTGCTGCACATTCTGCTATGCTATAAATTAAACTACAGTTTATTTAGAAAGAGAAAACTACATTCAACCAGCGCAGGATAGTTCAAAACTATTTTTTCCTAGAGCTTTGCACACAACATGATGCGTGAAACTTTATCTGCAAATTTTCAGTTTACAAATAAAGATGTTTTACCATATTGAAAAATGTCTGAACCCAAGAGGTAATCTCGTTCTTTGATTGTATGTACTCTGGGATAAAAGACACTATGTTTTCCAACATGTTTGTACAGAACCTACCACAATAGAGCCCAATCACAACTGGAGCCACTGGGCACAACCATAACAAACAATAATACAAAATAAAAAATTTGTTTTACAACCCCTCACACATTTCTTCAGGATTTAGACACTATATGCCAAGCCTTGGCTATGAGGGAATACGTACTGTCAGCTTTAATGTACGGTTCTACTCTGAAAAGTGGGATCCCATGTTTATACTCTCAATGGTCTCTGCATTAAATATGCTCAAGTTTACAGATTTTTTTTTTCCTAATTGCCAGACGTAAACATTTAGCCTGGGATCTGAGGGCCAAGCTGGGTTCTTTCTATTGCATGAATTAGCAGCAGTAATAACAATTCTTCAGGGAAAATTCTATCCTCACTTATTACCAGTGCAACCTCAGTCTTCAAGTTATGCCCTCTGCTTTCAATGGGTTTCCAAAGGAGAAACTAATGGGAACTAAGGGTACGTCTATCCCCAGCCGCTAGTTCGGCGGCTGGCAATCGAACTTCTGGGTTCGACTTATCGCGGCTTTTCTGGGCGCGGTAAG